ATGAAAGTATTTATAAAAAAAAGGTGCAGAGAGACAACATTATAGTGGTGTGTAAGTGACTGAAGATGATTGAAGCCACCAGATCAGAATTGACTTGATGAAGTCTATCAGAGGACAAAACACTTTAGCAAAGAAAACATTCCTTCTTCTGTTAAAACAAAATCAAACAAGTACAACAATATTTTTTTACAATAGATGAAATAATAATGATGAAAAGGTACCTGCACAAAATAAGAGAGACTGATTGATCTACAGTGCAAGATAACATTTATTAGACAAAACAACAAAAAGGGGAAGATTAAGAGTTTCTTACCTAGAAATGAATTGAATATACAATGAAAATTGTTAAGGAATGTATTTGGGTGTAACTTGCCTGTGTAGGTGTGTTTGTTTGTGAAGTGTCCACAGGCCTATTTTGTTTTGATGTGAAAAGTTGATGGTGCACACTTTGAAAAGAAGGGAAAACATGAAAAGAGAGTTACTGAAGGGTTTGCCAGTTTTTATACCCTCAGAGCTGCTACTGCTGGTGATGCGTTTATTAAGGCACTATACAAGCATTGTACTGTTAGAATTTGCACACATTCTTGTGTTCAAGACATTTCAAGTAGCCAGTCTGAGTAAAAGTCTGAGCCAAAGTAGTAAGAGGAGTGAGTAAGAAATCTTCCTGTGTCACATCTATTCTCTGTTATATGAAAACTTTCTTCATAAGAAGAAACTTGAGTATGAAATTTTTTTTTTTTGTGGGTTTGTTGATGGTGCTGACTCTGAAAATGACCTTAGTTTCTTCATGTTTGGCTACTGTTTTTGCTGTACTGAAATTGCTCATTTTTAGAAAAAAAGATCAATTTATGATCTTGACTGATTGCAAAATTTAGTTAATAAAGTTTGTAGAAGCCCATCAATATTGAGGTAGGCTGAGCAATTTATGTCAGCCACCTGAAATAAATTACTTTTATAAGAAAAAATTGTTTTTGAGTCAAAAATTTTAAAACAGATATACCAAAGTTTTCCACTTTATTGCCAAAATTCAAATTAACTGATAAACTTTATTAGTAATACAGTTTAGTAAACCTGATAATTAAGGTGACATAAAAAAAATGAAACCCTAAAATCTTCTGTTTGAAATTCATAAATTTATCCCATCACTTTTATCCCTTCACTACCGAAGGAAACCAAGCACATTGAGAGCATTTTGTTTTCACAGTTGGAAAGAAACTCCAACTAAAGACATCCCAATTGAATGCACCTATTCTATTGTACATAATATTGCTGGAGTATCAAAAGGGACTTAAATAACATTGAACATGACAGACAATCAAGAAAGAGAAAATTTTACCATAGTTCTTATGTTCATGTAGGTTTTATTTCTGATGTTAGTTAATTAAATGATTTGATGAAAATACTTGTTGGTCTTGGTATATTCAACTGTGTTATTTTTAAAGACTTAGGGTCTGATTGCTATTGCAAAAATAGTATTTCTCAATAAGCAGACCAATATTTGTTGGTTTAAATATGAATTGAAAGCTTTCTATGATTTTATTTGGAGAAATATTGTTATTGGTCAATATCATATATGCAGAAAACAAATGAAAAAATTTTTTTTTTTTCCAAAAATGAGGCATTTCTGTACAGCAAAAATGGTAGCTAAGCAAAAAAAAGTAAGGTCATTTTCAAATTCAGCACCCTCAAATTAGCTAAAAAAGATGTCTTGACACTGTTTCAAAAAGATTTTTTTGTTGCCTGGTGTAATTAATGTAAGGTTTCTATATGAGTATTTTACTTGAATTAATGATGGTAAAAAGTGTACATGCACAGAATAACAGAGACTGATTGATTTTCAATGCAAGATAATATTTATTTTAACAAAAATAACAAAAGGGAAAGTTTAAGGGTTTCTTTTCCTAGAAGTAAATTGCATAGATATTAGAATAATCCCAAACCTATACTGGCAGTAAACTTCCCGCATGTAGTTAGAGAATGAGTTCAGTAAATATATAGAAATAGAATGTTGTGTAAGACAAGGAAGTGTCTTCTTACTGAATTTATTCCACAAGTACAGTGAGGCAATTCTTAGAGAATTAGAAGTCCTACCAGTATTTATTATTGGTAGCCATGATGGGCACTCCAAGGTGGTGTAATGGTTAGCACGCTTGTCTCGTTAGAACAATTACAACTGAGTAGTGAGTTCGATCCCCACTGGATGTCCCATACTTTCAGCCTTGTGCCACATCTAAGCTATGCTTGAAAAAACATTGGTAGCCACAACCTTAACATTATATATGTAGATGACATAGCCTTGATTGCAGACATAGAAAATAAACAAGAACTCCTACAGAAGAAAGGAGTAAACATTAATTGTAAGAAGATAGAATGCATGTTTATTTGCAAAAAGAACAGCCTGAGATGCAAAATGTAAATGTAAGATGCCAAAATCAAACAAGTGCAACAATTTAAGTATCTAGGAAGTGTTTTAACAAAGGAAGCAAAGTGTGACACTGAAATGCGAATGTTCATTGTGAAAGAAGCCTTGCAAAATCTAACCAAAGTATTAAGAAGCAGGAAAATTTAATGAGACACAAAGAATAGTGTACTGAACTATTCTGCCATATCAGCCCTCCTTTATAGCAGTGAATGCCTCTCACAGATGAAACAACAGAAATGTGATTCTGCAGAAGGATGCTGAAAATTCCATGGACTGAACAGGTGCACAATGACAAAGTTTTATCACATCCTGGCTAACAAAATGACATTGCCACAACATTTTTGTTACATTGCATAGAGGTTGGAACAACATTTTTTGTAGACTCCTCACAACATATTTACAATGTTATATTATAATGTTGCAAATATGTTGCCTTGTAACATTATGTTGATTTGTAACATTACATTAGCAGAAAATGGATAATAAATTCAAAGAAGATATTAGAACATACCTTCATCATCTAAATTAATGATTCTCAATTTAAAAAATATGCAAAGAAATTTGATAACTTCTCTACATATTTTTAAACAAGCAGTAGAGCCCGGCATTGCCCGGGGATATCACAGTAAGAGATAGATCAAGTATCCACCATCATAAAGACTGAAAAATAAAATTGACAAAGATTATTGTTTAAGGTTGACGGACATGCATGTCTTAATTAGTTTTTTTTTAGGAATTGGTCAAACCCAAACTCAAACAAAAACATTGTTTTCAATCATTATGAGTCTCCTGATTGAATAGAATAATTTTATAAACAATTGTCTTGTAAATGGAATTTTTAAAGCATTCTGAATGTAAAAATAAAGAAAAAAGTGTGCAAGACAATAAGAAGCACTACATGCCAAAAAAAAAAGTGAAGTATAGAATCCAGAGGTTAGCAGTGAATATTTTGAAGACAGTAGGGAAGCGTAGTTCAGGTTAGCAGTGGATATCCTGGTAAAGTAGCAGAGTGTAGTTCAGTAGTTCTTCCTTCTGTTCTTTCGCCTGACAAGTTGGCACTGGACATTTGGAGAGAGTAAACAAAATGGCCGCCTTTATACACGGCGGATTGAATATTCTATGTCTTCTGATTGGTTAACCTTCTATTGGTGGACTATAGAGTGAGTCAAGTCACTTGGGCTAACTCACTAGTACATATATACACAAAAATCTGCAACATGTGCAAGTAGCAGATTTAGCAATTGTTCAATATAATCATTCCGTTCTATCTCATGTTAGTGGAAAACAGACTGAGAAGGTTCAAACCAATTTATCATGTGAACAGAATTGTTTTAAGCCTGTTGCCCTCCATTGAACCAGTCTAGTTTATTAAAAAAATAAATTAACTAACATGTTTTCTAGCTTACATTAGTCAGTATTTAAACCTTGATACCCGAGCAGTGCATATACCTTTTTGGCTGGTATACTGACCAGAGTCATGGACAGCAGGGGTGGACAGCAGGAGTCCAGTGTGGGGAATCTGTATTCATCAGGATGTCAGGGTACAAACACAGTGCATACAAAATCTTTCACTATGTAAAAATCTCACCACCCTAGTGGAGGGTTTTGTCTATAGGGTTCCACTGAAGGGCAGTCATTTTAAATTCTTTGTAATTATGTGTACATTCCTTGACCGCGAATATATCACACAGACACAAGCAAACAAATACACACACAAGTACAACTTGACTGTGCCTTGAGGAAAAATTTTAAAAATGAAAAGAGAAATTTATTGAAATGTATTTTTTTTTCAAGTATTTCACCCCGAGCAAGGCAGGAGTGCCATTCGTTGACAGGGATTCAAATTTTCTGAATCTCTGGATAGGGTAATGGCTAACAGCTCTGAAAGAGAAAGTGATGAGTTGAGTTCAAAATCTTTACATTCACTTATGCACAAACTCGAAAGGTATGAAATCTATCTCCTCTCACCCCTGCCCCTGCTGTGATCTCTAGCCAGGGTTGGCAACCAGTCTAGTAGAAGGACAACTCCAAATTCAAAGTGGTATGTAGCCCTGAACAGCCATTGAAAAGATTACAGTGTTACCAATTAATGGTTGCATGGAGTTGTAGATTCTGTGATCTCCACTGAGTTCAAATCTATAAATCTATCTATCTATCTATCTATCTATCTATCTATCTATCTATCTATCTAATAATGATGATAATAACAAACTCCCATATGCCAACTAAACAGTTCAGTTGATGTCAATGAGGTCAAATACCTATCTCTCTGGCTGCTGTTGTTGTTGATGATGATGATGTTTTTAGCGTAATCCCACAAGTCAACTAAATACTAAATACTAATATAAATCAATCACTCTATTGCAGGCAGAATGAAATAACCTGTTGGGTAGGCAATAGTAAACTTCTGGTTCATTTTCCTTCTTCTGTCAAGGATGTATACTTAAATCTTACTTTAAGCAGGGTATTGCCCCACCCTGTAATACTGGCTATGTAGACCCTGGTAAGATGCTTACTATACGGCTATTGAAAAGATTATGGAATTCACAATTACCTGCCACATTGAATTATGACAACTATGATCTATCTATCTATCTATCTATCTATCTATCTATCTATCTATCTATCTATCTATCTATATAATGATGATCCCATATGGAGATCACAATTGACTGCACCAGTGTCTCTCTTCCCAGAGTAATATTCTCTGTTGAATAAGATGAATCCATCTTTTCTCCATCTAGCTGTGGGTTAACTGGTAGGGTTGGATTGGCTCTCGAGCTATAGTTAGCAACCAGTGTAGAAGGAAAAATCTGAATTCAAAACCATATATACCCCTGTTGAAGGGCATACTATGGATTCCATAAATTCAACTATCTATCTATCTATCTATCTATCTATCTATCTATCTATCTATCTATCTATCTATCTATTTCAGTCTCTTCAGTATCTATCTATCTATCTATCTATCTATCTATCTATCTATCTTATTTTCTTTCATTTCTGTCTGTCTCTCTCTGTATCTATCTATCTATCTATTTAATGATGATGATAATAACAAACTCCTTTATGCCAAGTAAACACTTCAGTTGATGTCAGTCTTGTGATCATAGTAAAACTAGCATCCAAACAAGTAAAATACAAATAAAAATAAATCACTAACAGTTTGCTTTTTCCCTCTCAGATGAAATACATGGAATATTTCTGACTCCTTTATTAAAGAGTATTATTTCTTATTATTGCTTTTGAGTAAGAACATAAAAAAAATAGCAATTGGCAAACTCACACTGGGACACTGGATATGTAACCCAGGTGAGCTGAATATTATACAGCTATTGAAAACATTATGGACTACAAAATTAAATGGAGTGCAGGTTTATCAACTCTTTGATCTTGACTGAGGTTACATAAAAAAAAATCTTCATTTTTCAATCACTTTGCATTATGGCAAAAATAATTTTACCTCTTGCTTGATTTTATATTTTCCTGATCTTATCTTGTGCTGTTTTTTTTTTTTGTATATTACTCTTGCTTAAGAAATTGTTTATAAATACTACATCCAGGGTCAGATAATGAAATTATTGGGTTTTTCTCAGATGAAGCAACCTTCTAACTTGCCCACAGCTTTTTTGAATATCAGAGACAGCAATGTTTTAGATTATACTGAAGTTTTTGTTTGCCTTTCATGAAATTCTTAAATTACCTCATCACCTCTCACCATATTTGCCCCACACCCTCTTTTTGGCAAAGTATTTGAGGCTAAAACCAATGATGAATTGATTAAGTATCTAACTTCTCACAACTTACTTTTGAACAAACAATATGGCTTCCATTTCACCAGGTCCACTGCTGACATGTTAATGGTCAACATTGAATTTGTCTACCAAGCCTTAGATAAGAATGGTGAAGCTTAGGCTGTGGCTCTAGATATCTCAAAGGCATTTGACAGTGTTTCACATGCTGGCCTTTTATGCAAGCTCAAGGGCTACAGCATTACGGGACAAATATTTGGCCTAATCCAATTGTTCCTAACAAATCATGTAGTAATGGTCATGTTGAATGGGCATGCTTCCAGATCACTTCATACTAAATCCCGGGGGGGATGCTCTATCCTTGAACCTATGCACCTTCACCAATGACCTCCGTGATGTCATCAGTTCCCAAATAGGTATTTATGCAGATGATGCAAACATTTACTCCTGTCTTAGTAGCAAACTAGCAGCATAGCCTGGTGTTGCCCATGCTTGATTCAAAAATTGTACGACTCATACAGCAATCGCTATCACTTGACTTAAAATATTTTTGCCCTTCCTTGCTTTTAAAGGAGTGCCCATTGCTGTGCTGATGTTGCTACATGCCTTACTTCTTGCCTATCTCACACTGTGAATTTTTTCTAAGCTCTATACTAAACATTAAATCTGTTACAAAAAAAGAACTAAACAAAATGAACACAAAACGATCAGCTTTAAAAAAAGGACTTGTAACTGGAAAAAACAAATGAAAAAAGAATGTTAACAAAAAATACTTTTTCACACCCAACCCAGTTCTGCGGAATCAGAATCAACATTGAGTTTAAGCAAGTGAATGAGCCAATTGGAGTAAAGTACCATGCAGATTTAAATTTTTTCCACTTGTGACGAATGCAGCTATCGATATTTTTTGCATGCTAGCATGCTAGTTAACATTCGTGTCAGTCAGCTGTTGGCTCTCATGCTGGCCAATAGAATCTTCCTGCCTATTCGTGGCAGCCAGCTATAGGCTCTCACTCTGGCCAGTAGAAAATGGCAGCAAACTACATGAAAACTGCAGTAGAAGCATGAAAAAATTGATTATTTCCACTATTGATGGGAGTTGGTAAATGCAAAGTCAGTCTTGGCCTTCCCGCTAACTTGGAGCATGTGCATGTAAATTTTGGTGCAAATCCATTGAAAATTGCAGCCATGCCTTCATTACACACGCACACACACACACACATGCTGTCTTTTATAGATAGAGATCCAACATGCCCAACAAAGTAAACCTGACAACTGCTCTTGAAAAGGACCTCATTATTTGCATTGGTCACCTGTGGAACTCTTTTCTGATTTCTTACTTCTCTGATAACCATAATCTTTAAAAATATAAATACAACATCAATCACCATCTTGTGTCTTCTTGAACCCTATTCTTTTTTGTCCTTTCCACAAACCTCTCCACTAAAGGCTTTTCATTCTCTTTCACTCCATGTAACACATCTGCATTCTAGTGGCATTATCACCTTGCTTGTGATGAAACAATTAAAAAAAAGTCTAGGAACCATACCTGTGATTTAATTGATATTCATTAATTAACAATGATTATTCATTATATAACTGCTAATAGTATCTAATTAAATCAATCAAATTAAAGCACTCCCTCAAATAATATTTTTAAGGCCTAACTCCTGCATCAATACCATCCGTCAGTGGTGAGAAAACAGAATGTCAAGGACAAGTCTGGAGGCTGAAATACCTTGTTGAAAAAGATCTTTCCAATAGATTTTTGGTAAGCGCTAATATTTTATAGGTTTTTTTTAAATATTTTATACAGCTTCTTTTTTTAATAATTTAAAGGATTCTTTTTTTAATATTATATAGGGCTAATTTCTTAATATTTCATAGGACTTATTTTTTAATATTTTATAGGGCTTCTTTTTGATATTTCATAGGGTTTCTTTTTTAATATTTTATAGCACTTCTTTTTTAATTTAGCTTAAACATAAGCTGTAAAAATAAAAGTATACAAACATATTTTGGAGGTAGTATGAATTGTTAAGAAACAAAAAAAATATTAGAAATAAAAAAAGCATACTGAATTGTTATGTAATATCAGTCCTCCTACATAGCAGTGAACACTGGACAATCTTCTCACAGATGAAGAAGAGACATGAAGAAACAGAAACAAAGAAAAGAGTACTGAACTGTTATATAATATCAGTCCTCCTATATGGCAGTGAATGCTGGACAATCTCCTCACAGATGAAGAAAAGACATGAAGCAACAGAAACAAAGAAAAGAGTACTGAACTGTTATATAATATCAGTCCTCCTATATGGCAGTGAATGCTGGACAATCTTCTCACAGATGAAGAAAAGACATGAAGCAACAGAAACAAAGAAAAGAGTACTGAACTGTTATATAATATCAGTCCTCCTATATGGCAGTGAATGCTGGACAATATCCTCACAGATGAAGAAGAGACTTGAAGCAACAGAAATTTGGTTCAACAGAAGGAATCTGGGAATACCATAGAACAAACACGTGAGAAATGATGAAGTTCTCAAGACAATGGCAACAAAAAGGACACATCAACTTAACATCAGGAAGGGAGTGTTGAAATTTCTGTCACATAATGAGGAAAGATGGCTTGTAAAATTTGATACTCACAGGACAGATTGAAGGTAAGAGAGATAGAGAAAAGCAATGCAAAACCTACCTGGTGTGTTTGAGTGAATGGATGGCAGAGTAGAGTTTGGGAGTGATGGCAAAAAGACAAATGTCATTAAGAGCTATAAAGGACAGGAAATTGTGGAGAACCATGATCGCCAATGACCAGAAGGGACACGGAACATAGTAGAAGATTTAGGTGAATCAGTTTAATTTAGTTGTGCCATTTTCCTTCTCATTCCACTTGTGCCATTTTTCCTCTCATTCCACTTCTGCCATTTTTCCTCTTATGCCACTTGTGCCATTTTTCCTCTCATTCCATTCCATTTTCTTCTGTTCCTTGTGCCATTTTTATTCTCATTTTTCCATGTTTCCTTTCATTCCATTCCATTTTTCCTCTCATTCCAGTTGTGCCATTTTTTTTATTCTCATTTTCTTCTCATTCCACTTGTGCCATGTTTCCTTTCATTCCACTTTGCCATTTTTCCTCTCCAGTTTTTTTCCTCTCATTCCACTTGTGCCATGTTTCCTTTCATTCCACTTGTGCCATTTTTCCTCTCATTCCACTTGTGCCATTTTTCTTCTCATTCCACTTGTGCCATGTGCCCTTCTCATTCCAGTTGTGCCATTTTTCTCATTCTCATTTTTCCTCTCATTCCACTTGTTCCATTTTTCTTCTCATTCCACTTGTGCCATTTTTATTCTCATTCCACTTGTGCCATGTTTCCTTTCATTCCATTCCATTTTTCCTCTCATTGTTGCCATTTTTTTCCATTCCTCATTCCACTTGTGCCATGTTTTTTCATTCTCATTCCATTCCTTGTGCCATGTTTCCTTTCATTCCACTTGTGCCATTTTTCTTCTCATTCCAGTTGTGCCATTTTTCCTCTCATTCCACTTGTGCCATTTTTCTTCTCATTCCACTTGTGCCATGTTTCCTTTCATTCCACTTGTGCCATTTTTCTTCTCATTCCAGTTGTGCCATTTTCCTCTCATTCCACTTGTGCCATTTTTCTTCTCATTCCACTTGTGCCATTTTCTTCTCATTCCACTTGTGCCATTTTCCTCTCATTCCACTTTGCCATGCCATGTTTCCTTTCATTTTTCATTTTTCTCATTCCACTTGTGCCATGTTTCCTTTTTCCTTTCATGTTTTCTCATTCCACTTGTTGTGCCATTTTCTTCTCATTCCAGTTGTGCCATTTTCCTCTCATTCCACTTGTGCCATTTTTCTTCTCATTCCACTTGTGCCATTTTTCCTTTCATTCATTTGTGTCATTTTTTCCTTTCATTCCACTTTTACCTAAATTTAATTCATGGTTAAATAATACATAGGTCATATACTTGGAGGATTATGCCACAAATCAGAGAGGATAATTTTCATAGTGTCTTTATTGTCAAAATAATACTTTTGAAAAAGTATTATTTTGACAATATATATACTATTTGCCTTGCTATGAAATTGGGGTTAGCAAGTTTATATTGTAGATTATTATTACTGAAGTCAATTCACTCCTCACTGAGTGCCCATCAGAATAACATAAGTCAAATAATTACCAATAATAAGTCATCATTTATATTATTTACTAATTTTTTGTTCTTTAGAGAGGAATATAAGATTGTCATGAAGTATCCAAAGTATCATGAAGTTCCGACATGAAGGCACATCTTCAGCATAGCTGCTCCTCTCCAAGCGCTCCCACCTGCTCAGGCCCATTTCTTCAACATCCACAACACCATCCTGTGGTTTATACAACTACTATGTTGATTGTCATGAGTACAAAGAAAATATTTCTACTTCTATGTGTTGTGTCCCTTCAGGATGTTGGTGATCATGGCTCACTATAAATTCCTAACCTTTGTAGCTCTCAATAAATATTGTCTTTTTGCCATCTCTCCCAAACCTAGCCCTGTCATCCATTCATTGAAGCTCGACAGATAGTCTATGCATTGCTTTCCTCTTTTCCTCTTACCTTTGATCTGAGCTGTGAGTATCAAATTTGTCCTTTTTATTTCTATTGTCTCTAGAACTTTGTCATTGTTCACATGTTCAGTCCATGGTATTCTCAGCATTTTCTATCTCTAGCCCTGATTAAAATAGACACTTCTTATTTAATAGGTTTGTTTATACTTATCAAATGATATGCTGGCCCTTACATTTTGCATTGGGTTTGACATTAAATATTCTAGTTTTGACTGTTAAACACTCTTAAAAAACTACTGAAACATTTTTACTTTCAAATGCACATGTGATTAAAGAACAACCATGAAGTCATAAGTTCAAAAACAACACTTATGGTTTATTCACATAAAGTTGTACACACTGACACTTGTGCCATTTTTACCTAAATGCACATTATGCTTAAATAATACATTTAGACATTTTGAAGATTTCATCTTAAGTCAGAGAGGATTTTTTTCATAGTGTTTATGTTGCCAAAATAGTAACATTTTATTTACTAGAAAAGCACTTTTTCTAATTATTTGGGATTTTTTTCCTGTTTTATTGTTATATATGTTGTTGTTGTTGGTAGTTTTTTTTTTTTTATTTCATTTTTTTCTGTAATCAAAACAAAAATTGTTTTAATTGTAATATTTCTTTATATTTTGTAGATGTTGTCCAGTTTTGGAATGTTTGAAATAGATGGGTATCAAATTCTTGGGCAGCACAAATGCTTGGTACACCACTGTATTCCAAATAGCATTGCAGAGAGGAAGATTAATTTAAAAATACTACACAACAGGCAAAATATTTGTTTAAAAAACACCTTAAAATAGGATATTCTTCTTTTCGTTAATTGGTTCCAGAGGTCATGACATAGGTTGAAAAATAACTTAAGTCAAAATAGCCACACTATAAACTGCAAATAAGCACTCCCCATTGCATATTAAAGTATTTATGATATATACATACAGTATTCTGAATAAAATAATTAATTTCTACCTTATCTTCCAACATAATATAGCCTTATGCTTAGCATTAGTACTTGCACTGGGACTATTCTTTGGAGCCATAGGCAAAAATATATTTTAAATGACAATTGAAATGTAATTGAAAGAACATCAGTGGCAGAGCACAGATGTAAACAAGTCTGAATTCAAAATCAGTGCTAGAGTGGAAAACAGTACAAAGTGTTGCCTCTTGGCAGGAATTTGAAATAAGAACATCTGCTGAACATACTTTATTATGCTATTTTTTTTGTTTTTGATGATTTTATGATATATATAGTATAGATCAGTGGTTCTCAACCTTTTTTTACCCATGGACCCCTTTCCCCTTCTTTTTATCTTGGTGGACCCCTTCATAGCTATTGGACATAAGAACAATTTTCTATTCTTCACTAATATAAATTTTAAGGTTTTAATTATCAAAGAAATAGTATACGATTAAGCTTTATTTTTAAATGAAAACTAATTTAATACAAATAAAATATTCTACTATAATTATAATAATAATTATTATTACTATTTTTAATTAACACAACAATTGTGTTTTGCCTGTGGACCCCCGGAAATATTACATGGACCCCTAGGGTCCATGTAGACCCTGGTTGAGAACCACTGGTATAGATAATAGTATTTTTAAATTTATTTAAATATGATTTTATATGTGTTTATTGTTATTTTAGTGTTTTGATGTTTCTAATATTTTTAACAGCTGACATAAACTCAAGTAAAATGACCTATGGTAAGTTTTATTTTTCCATATAATATTTAAGAAAAACCAATGTATCTTTGAAAATGACTGAACTTAAAACAACTTAAGCCACGGTATCACTGTATTTTTAAAGTAAAAAATAAAATATCAGTAACTACAATATATGTGCTTTTATTTTGACAAAAATAATTATTTAACTACAGTGTAACCCGGATATAAGAGACCCTGATATAAGAGAAACTTTCTCTGGTCCCAAATTAGAGCCTGTGTTAATGTATATAAAATAGACCAAACCCGGATATAAGAGAAACCCGGATATAAAAGACTTCTTCTCCGGTCCCGACAACTCTCTTATATCCGGGTTACACTGTATAAAAAATTATCATTACAACAGCATCATATTTTGTTTTCATCAATAAAAACCACCATCTGCCCTAATTACTGTTTCTTTCATTCTTTCCAACAGTTTTTGAAAAAGAGTAGATGCTAGACTATACTAAGTATTCTTCAAGCAAAGAAAAGGCTTTGGGCATTTTCTTCAAACTCTCCTATCCATCACAGAATAATTCAATGGGAGAGAGGTCAGGAAATTGAGGTGGTCAAGTTATAATTCCCAAAATTTTGTTCCTTTTATTGACTCAAGGTAATTTTGATATAATTTAGAAGAATGTTTCAGATCGTTGTCTTGGTGAATTTCTCTACAATTAAGCATAAACCAGATAGTATAGCATATGTCTTTGCATAATCAAATGATATTGTTCTTTTTTCATGATTCCCTTGACCTGAATCAAATCTCCAGCCCTTTTGGTGATCTCAAAGCGACTACTGAGAGGTTAATGGTGAAAACAAAATATAATGTTTCTCATACAAAATATTCATTATTTAGCAAAATGCATTGTGGAGAGACGAATCTGTTATAGACAAGCGTATGGTTCCAAGAAAGAAATATGACAACAGCAGAAATAGATTTACGTGATTTATTTCAATAGGAACGTGTGGTTTTGGGACAGCTACCTTGTGGTATAGTTCATAGGCCGGCTGAAGATCTGGGTTGATCTCTCATAGTAGTTCTCGCTGGTTGGCGTGTTGCTACTGCTGCTGGCTGCTGCTGACCGCTCAACCTGACCGTGACAGGTCGCTTCCCTGGCCTCCTGTTGACTGCTCGTTGTACTTCGTGTGACCCCCTTTATGGCGTTTTTTTTATGGCTTAACAGGCTCGAAAAACGACGCGAGTATAATTAGGAGGGAAGCATTTTTATTGGTCAAAAAATAGAAAAACTTTAAAATATTATTTTTCGACCGGAACTGTGTCGGGCCTATGCGCAAACGACGATAATGGTCATTTTGTGACGGGACCTTGTCCCGTTCACATCCGGCTCTCGCTCTTGAGTATGTTAGTTTATTTACTTACAAATCAGCCGAGATATGTCTTATTTTATTTTATAACAAATCCAAATTTGGACTTTTTTTTGGTAGCCTAGAAAAAAATGAAAGGAAAATACATTGTAGTGACTGAAAATTTATCTTTCACTTTAAAAAAAATACAAAAAAAATCTTATTTTCAGCTGGTTTGCTACAATTTGTATTGTTGGGGACGAGTGAAATGTATTAAGCTTTTTTTAACTAGAAATGTTGGAATTAATCAGAAGGATTTTTGGTTCGGCAGGTGCGTTCAAAACTTTATCCTTAACAATAAAATATTTCAAACTATTGAAATACAACGAGGCAAAGAATCAATTCAAACAATACACACATTTATATACAATTAAGAAAATATTTACAATAATGTTTTAAGATATCAAATGTTGGTGTGTTTGAAATTGTTAAACGATCAAGTTTGTTTGAGTGTTTCGATATATTTATGAACTATTGTAAAGTTAAAGTCAAATGAGTTTTTGTAAATTAAATGTTCATTTACTATTCAACGTGAATGTCTATGTAATTATTTATGTACTGTTTTTTTGGTTAAGTCGTTCGAAGTTGCGTACCTTTATCTGTAGTTTAAGGTTTATGTCTGATCGCTGTTTTTACTTGAATGGTAGTGAATATAAAATCATTCAACTTTATATAAGTAAAAATGTTCGAAGTTCGTCACAGAGGATTATCGAGCCAAATTGTCATTGAGTCATTGATGTTTTTTACGTAGGAAATTCTTGTTCGGGGTTGCGTGGATTTGGTTGGTTTCTCTCTGTGTTCGATGTTCTCACTCTAGGTTAGTCCAAAATCTTCGTTTTATAGGTTTTTGGACATACAAATCGGCTCCCAGAATTTTGACGCAATTTACTTCTTTTCACGTGAGCTTTCAAATTTTTGATCTGTAAGCCAATAGAATTCTTAGTTCGGAAAAACAAGGTTTTCATTGGATAAGTTAGTGTACGTGGGTGTAAAAGATAATATAGATTGTTCCTGTGCATAGGGGTGTTAAAGTAACGTGGGCGATTCCACAGCATGGTTTATATAATCTATGGTGTTAGACTGTTCTTATTCTACTCATCATGTCTAGGGATTTCTCGTCTAGTTCTTATTTTTTGGTACTACACAAATTATTGCTTGCCCTGTTTTTACTGAGTCTAAGTACGTACTACCCAGCACGAGGATTGAACACACAATGCTTCCCCTTAAAGCCTTCCTCTCTCATAATTGTTATCACTCAAAAATAGCGAACTGATTTAAATTCAGCTTTGTGGGTCAGTGGACCTCTTTTTTTCAGGTTGTCCGAAGACCCCGTTCTTGGTAACCTGTCCACAGATTTTATAGCTAATTGTAGTTTTAAAACTTCGTATGATGGCCACTGTCTGACTTTTCGCTGAATTTCGTTCTTGCATTTATAATAAGAAAAAATATCATTGAACCTGGATCACGAAATGTTCGCCTGTATTTTGTTCTTGAAGAGGATATAAATTCTGGTATTTGTTGTTGGTTGGGTGTCTTTTGTTGAAATTATGGTTCTTACTTACCTGAACCTGTTTAGACACACTGCTGTCTGGACTTTTCGTAAAGGAGTCTTATTTTATTTTATGATATCTCTTTAAAAAGACACGATATATTTTCCAGTTCTTCCTTTTTTTTTGGATAAATTTTAACAAATTTATGCAGAAAAATCGAAAGTAGCACGAACAGAATTTTGAAAAATATTCAGAATTTCGAAGTGATATCGGCTTGACTAACACGTTCGAGGAGAAAGACAACGACTTAAAATGGTTGACTAATGAAATGGAATTGATAAACAGTAAACACACGTAAAGTGATGATGATTACATTGGATAAAAGAAAAGAAAACCTTACAATAACAACGAATAATTTAAATGAGATAACTTCGTCTATTATTTCGCTAGATCCGCTTTCTGTAAGCAATTATATTCAAACTAATTACACTTAACGGTTGCAAGTAACAATAGTTCAATTATGATTATCCGATTGTTCGATGAGGCCTGAGGTATACTTGTCAAAATATTGTGATGAGACTGCACAACTATTTTACTCAATTAGGTTTACTCTATTTTTAGTCAACTATTTTATTCAAGTCGTTGTCTACCTGCAGGACCTTGGACCCGATAAATGGTAGTTAAACCATGATATCTCCTTCTGGAAGTGAACGGACAAATCCTCCGCCATCTTGTTTCAAAATCTGACGGTGATTACTGTGTTCTGAACAATATTTTTTAAAAAAGTGATTGATATCCCAAACAGCTATCAATTAATTTACCATTACACTGGCCAAGAAATGCTGTTTTCTTTCTCTCTCTCTAGCTCTCGCCAAATATATACGTAAACTTAACTCATCACTAGATGAAAACACATTCTGATCATGCAAATAAACTTTTCAGACAGTTTGAATATAATTAATACAAATTTCGAATTAAAATAATATAGCAGCAAGAAATTTTTAGGGGAGTGACTGGGAGAAGAGAAAACGTTTCCTCTCTTATTCCAAATATTATATAAGGCATACACGTAACCAAACAAGAATAAAAACTATCTCACTTGTGGCATGTGGGGGCTTCCTTACTTTGCTCGTTTTAGCAGCAGCAGCAACAGCGGAAATAATCAGTAAGGTACAACCGGAAGTCCCAGGTGTCATAAAAGCCTTGAACGTGCCCTATTCGGCCTCTTTTCGATTTCCCATCTTGACGAACTCGGATCGCTTCTCAGACTTTTGGCTGAGATTCGATCAAGGCTACGACTAGCTTGGACCGGCTCAGGCCTGGACCAGCTAGGACAAGACAAGACCAGCTTTGACTAAGCTCTGACCAGCTTGGACATGCTATGACCAGTTTTGGACCAGTGGCCCGAGTGGAAACGTTCGGGTCTTTCACGCTAAACCGACCTTGTGTCACATCCTGACTTCGTGGGAGTCAAGTCTTTTCGATTTCCCTTTCCAGCGGCCTCTACCTCACGGTTGTCTCTTTCCTACTCTTCATTTTCAGTTGCCTCTACATTCACGGCCAGCTGTCTCCCTCTTTTCCACCTTCCTGTTCAGTGGCCTCTATCTCACGGTCAGCTCTCTCTTCCATTTCTCACTTTCAATGGTCTCTCCATTGGAGACATCTACCGAAGGGCTACACGCAACCCTCCCTTCAGAAGACAAGGCCTGTCTTGGCAGCTTGACGTTAGATTTCCCATTCCTCCCGCGGGAAAACGGCGAAGTAATCTCCCTTCGAAACACCTATCAAAAGTGGCAGCGTTCCTTTTCTACGTTTGGCTGCATCTGGATGAAAGTGCTAAAAAGTGGAAGAGACAGAGAGAATATGATTGTCTTTTAGGTTTAAAGAGCGCCCGCTCCTTAACCTCTCTGTTGGAAAAGTCAACTAGGATAACCTACACAAAATAGAGGGTTTTTTTCCTTTTGTGTGCCTATAAAAAAATTATTTTTACAATTTTAAAAATGATAGCATTGAATAAATATTTAATCGCATAGGATATTTTTTTTCTTTTTTAGTAGATGTTCTTTTAAGAGAAATGTATTTTTATGAGGGCCGGACGGTTTGTGTCAAAAATTCTTACAGTTGTATATCTTTTTTAGTTCAACAGTTAAAACCTGCTGAAATTGTGAAGGCTCTATTCAAGATTTTTAAAAATTGTTTTTTCATATTTTGTGGCCAATGAGAGCCGTGGTCTCATGCCATTGTGTAAACATGGATGGAGCCTTCTGTGATCCTAAAACTCTGAATAAATAAGATCTCAGGTCAGTGGACAAGAAGAAGATTTCTTGACAGAAAGGAGACAAGGCAAATCAACATCAAGAAGACATTTTGACATTAAAAAGAGAGCATTGAGAAGGCACCAGTTACCAGCCAGCTGCAGAGAGACTAAAGAATTTTGAAGTTCAAGAGAAAATTCTCCTGTGGTTGGACAGCCAAAAACGAAAAGGAATTTAAAGAAATGTTACCCAAACATCAACAGTTTGATTTTAAAAGGGACTTTTTAAAAATTACAATATGTCCCTGAGATGTTCATGTGGCAGTTAAAAGTACGTGTTTTCATTTTGTTTGGTTTTTCTAATCGTCTAGGTTGTTTGTTATTTTTTTTTTTTTTTTAGTACACATTCTTCTAAGAGAAGCATATTTTTATCAAGGCCAGACGGTTTGTTTAAAAAAAGGAAAAAAATTGTTACATTTGTATATCTTTTTTGGCTCAGCAGTTAAAACCTGCCAAATTTTGTTGAGGATCCATTTCCAGTTTATGGAAAATTATTTTTTTCGTATATACTGACCAGTGAGAGATATAGTCTTAAGTTCTAGTAACAACCCAAATGGTGGTGGTGGTGGTGGTGTTGTTTTGGCTTGTGAACATAATTTTTCAAATATATAGAGCTCAGGTCAGTAGATACATGAAGACATTTTGACAGTAAGCAGACAAGGTAAATCAAGGAGAAAAAAGGCTTTTGACATCAAGAAGAGAGCATCAAGAAGGCACCAGTTACCAGCCAGCAGAGAGACTAGAGAATTTTGAAGTTCAAGAGAAAATTCTCCTGTGGTTGGACAACAAAGAACGCAAAAGAATTTAAAGAAATGTTTCCCAAGCAGGAACTGTGAATTTTAAAAGGAACTTTTCAAAATTGACTATATGTCCCAGAGACGCTTGTAGGGCAAGTAAAAGTTGGTCTTTTCGTTTTTTCTCAAAGGTGGTTGCACTTTTGTTTTAATACTGCCTTCTTGTATTGATTTCTCATTTTGTCTTTTTCAAAATCCTTGTCTTTTCCTGTTATGGAGTGATTTCACAGTGGAGGCTTGTATTTGTACTAAGTCGGTCCTAAAATAGGTTCGACGTACAAAACCTTAGGAACTTGATATAATAGGTATAACGTAGAGAAATCGAGTTGTGGTCGCTGATACTTTAATATCCGACTAACGGCATCGACTGACTGAGCGACGGTATTTAGTCCCCCCCCCACGAGGGCATCATGTGGCACAAGGCCGGTTTAACGTGGGATCTCCGAGCCCGTGGGCTCGGCCAAAAATATGCCCTTTGAACCCGTATAAACGGGTTCAGGGTCGGTTTACCTCCCCGAAAGAGACTCAGCCCTTCGGCGTAGCCTCGTTCGGGTTACTCCCCGCCCGAAGGCAGAGAGTTCAACCGATCAGCCGGTCGCCCGACTTCAGACTGAACTCAGATCGACTCACTGAGCGACTCCCTCGTTACTCTTACTACTCCTACTTATTATAGGTGGGAGAGTCTATTAACTATAGAATAGGTGTGTTCCACTATAACATTTCCCAAACTGTATTTTTTTTTCATTTTTAGATGGTGTCCTTTTTGTTATAAAATAAAATAAGACATATCTCGGCTGAATTACAGGCATATACGCAAGAGCGAGAGTCGGATGTGAACGGGACAAAACCCCGTCACAAAATGACCCTTATCTTCATTTACAAATGTTCCCGACACTCGAGTTCCGGTCGAAAAATAAAATAATATTTAAAGTGTTCTATTTTTCGTCCAATAAAAATGCTTCCCTCCTAATTATACTCGCTTCGTTTTTCGAGCCTGTTAAGCCATAAAATAACGCTATAAAAGGGGTCACACGGAAGTTCAACTGGCAGTCAACAGATGGCCACAAAGGAGACCTGTCATGGTCAGGCCGAGCGTCCAGCAGCTCTCAGCAGGAGAGCGTCAACCACCGTCAACATGTGTGAACTACTATGAGAGATCGACCAGATCCGAAGCCGGCTTATGAACTTTACCACAAGGTAGCTGTCCCAAACCCTCACGTTCCTGTTGAAATAAACCACGTAAATCTATTTCTGCTGTTGTCGTATTTCTTTCTTGCAACCATACGCTTGTCTATAACACTTTTATCTGAAATTGTTATTCTGCCTTGATAGGCACACAAAGGACATTTCTGTGCAAATTTTGTATTTGTACCATTTTCGTAATTGTGACGTCAGTTCATGAGGTGACAAAACCTCTGTTGTTATTTAGCACGCGTGGGGCAAGACGTGTCTGCCTACGCTAGTTGCTATATGGACACCAGAGATGCAAGTCATGACTGGCCATGGTAGTTAAGAGAACAGAGAAAACCAAATGGCATCACCAGATACATAGCGGACACTGGCCTTTCCGTTTTCGATTCGGGATATATTACAAGTAAGAATCTCTCACTTTTTACCCCTTTCACACTGCTTGTTGTATACATACGTTATAATTTTTCTGTATGGGGCAAATTACGGACGAAAAATGATACTATCAATCAAAAATACCAAACTGATTTAATTTAGCTGGAGCCTTTGTTGGGAACATACATTTAAGGGAATTCGAAAACCCCCATAGTTAGGAAAACTTTTTCGAAGACATTTTCGACCCAATTACAGGCACAAGGCTTGGATCAATCTGTGGTACGGTTTTCTCTCCAGACTAATATTATCAAGTAGTCACTTCTTTGATAAATTGACTATGATGCGATTCGAAACCGGCTCTCATGGTTGGGACGCTAATATTCATGTCATTGGCTACTTGCTAATGATCATTGTATAATTCTGTATTTGTTATATTTGTATCTAGTGACGATGAAAAAAGCACACACAAAGATGTTCAGATAGTGCTAAAAGCTTTAAATGAAAACAATTTGAACATTTATCAGGAAATACATTTAATATATAATTTATTTTTTTCTTAAGCATTTCGCCCCAAGCAACGCGGCAATGCCACTAGTACGCAAGGTGAGAGAAATTAAGAGAAAAATCTGGGTATGGGGGGGTATTGAGGAAAGGATAAAAAGAAAAACAGGGATCAAGTCATCAGAAAATATTCCTCATTGTAGTGTGTGTCTCACCCCAGCTGATTCCAGAATAGACTTTGCACTCAATGTCACACCAGACCATCATGTTGAAAATGTCAGTTTTAAGTTGGCACATAGTTTGACTACTGGAAAATATTTTTTAAGCATTTCACCCCAAACAAGGCGGGAGTACCACTAGAATACAAGAGGTTACAGAGAGTAAAAGTAAGAGTGAAGAGAAGTGTTTGAGGAAAGGGGAAAAAAGCAGAACGAGAATCAAGATCAAGGCATCAGAGGATGTCGATTTACTTTACATTTACATTTCTGAAGATCATAGTTATCAGGGAAGCAAGTAAGAGGAAGGGAGTTCCATTGTCGGGAAGTCCGAAAGAAGAAGCTGTTGGAGTAGAAGAGGTGGTTACATTAAAAGTAACATTAAAAGGGTGTGACTGAGATGCCAACCTAGTAGCATGCTTAAATTCATGCAGTTGTTGCACCAGTGAAAATAGCTTGTCAGAGAAGAAATTGCCATGAAAATATTTATAGAAAACACAAAAGGAAGCCACATCATGTCTGTGAGAAAGTAGCTGTAGACGAGATGCCATACATCACATTGAATATCCGTCTGTGAGAAAGTGACTGGAGTTGAGATGCCAAGTCAGAACCGATTACATTGCATATCTATCTTTGGATTTTGTCGAGAACCTCGAGATGAACAGAGGAGGTGGACCACACCATATATTGGAAACAATATTTAATGCAACGGACGAATGATCGGTGTGTAGATGTGTAAAATGGACTCAGACGAGAAAAACCTTCTTGCACGACACAGAGAACCAACATTCCTTGCGGTAGATGCAGCAATTGATTCAATCTAGTTCCACCTCAGGTCAGTGGAAAACATGAGACCAAGAAGGCACAGTGGGACGCTCTGGTGGAGTTGAGCACCAGCCATTCTAATAGGAGACAGGGAGGTTTCTCTATGGTGGTTAAATAAGAGCAGTTTAGTTTGGGAGGCATTACAATTTACACGCCATTTCCTGTCCCAGTTAACCACAGATTAGATGTCCTTTTCGAGACCAATGAACAAGTTAGCTTTATTAGCAATGGCGGATTTATGATTGAGACAGGAGTAAATGCTAGTGACGTCTACGTAGATACCTACCTGAGAACCGATGACATCAAGAAGATCATTGATGAAGATCAGAAACAGTGTACAACTAAGGATAGAGCCTCGGGGAACACTAGCGTCCGTGTGAAAAGAACTGGAAGAGAACCCGTTCAGGACGAGCTTCATTTCATGGTTTGATA